GGGGCAGACGAGCAAAAGGTAGGAGAGAGGGGCCCGCAGAAGATGCTGATGGTTTGGGTCGATGGAGCAGCGAGCGCAGCAGCAGCAGCAGAGTCGGGCCTGGCCTGCTGGCCGTGTGGAGCTGCCTGCCTGCTCGCCTGCCCGCCTGCTCGCCCTGCCCGCCGAGCTGCCCGCTTGCCCGCCTTGACCCTTCTTGGGCAGGCGGCGGCCCCATCTCGTTTTTGGCAGCCCGCCAGTTTTTTTTTTTCTCGCCCCCCGGCCCTTCTCTCGGCGCCAGGCCCGTTGGAATTTTTTCTTTCCTTCCCTCGCGGTACCCGATCCACCGAAATTCTCCACACGCCGCCCGAGAGCGTTGCGGCCTTTCTACCGCGCGAGAGAGAGGGGTTAGGCCGGGCTAGGCCAACTCAACTTCCACCTCCCCGCCCGACCTGCACGCAGTCGCGACCGCACCGGACTCATGGAAAGAGAGGGGGGAAGAGGGTGGATTTTGATTCGGGCCGGCGACCACGACGAGACAAAAGGGAGACCTCTCTCGCCGAGAGCCGCCATCGAAAGGGGTTGGGGGAGAGGCACGGGCGATAGGAGGGGCGACTACAGGCGAGAAGAGGGAGGACGATGGAGCGGAGGGAAAGACGAGGGGGAGGGGATGGGGAGGGGATGGGGAGGGGATGGGGAGGGGAGTGGGAGAGAAGCGTCGAGGGGAAGGTGTCCTGGAGCACGAGCGAGCCCCCGTCTCCGGCAGTCACACCTCTGGACGGACAACGACGACCCCTGCCACCCCTCGCCCATCCCCCGGCTTGTGACGGCGGCGTTGAGCGCTCACGCCGCCACAAGGACCGACGCACGCTCATCCGACGCCGTCGTTGCCGACCCAGCCTCGACCGGTGTCGCGGTGCTCGCCGAGCATGCCGCGGCCCTTTTCGACGTCGCCGCCGAGGCTCTGGACGCGCTTCTCTTTGGCCGCCAGCAGCTCCGACACCTCGCGCTCGAGCATGCGCCTCTGGGCGCCCGCGCGCTTGCCGGCCGAGCGCACCGCCTCGAGCAGCTCGATGTTGGAGATGGCGCTGCCGGACCTGGCCTGCTGCGATCCGAGCGTGTGCTCGTCGTCGGCGCTAAAGTCGGCGTACGACTCGTCGAGCACCTTGAGCACCGTGCTCAGGTTGTTGGGCAGGTACTGGAGGATGGGGCTGCCGCCCGTGGCAATGTCGTAGGTGCTGCGCTCGATGATGTACGACTTGGTAAACATCCAGTGGCGGTTGCGGAACTCGCGGATCTGGTCGACGAGCAGGATGTAGAGCGCCTTGGCGCGCGCGCTGCCGCTCGTCTCCATGGCAAAGTCGCGCACGCCGGCCAGCGTCGCGCGCCCCTCGAGCTGCTGGAGGAACTCGCGCTGGTTCTTGGGGCGGTACGTGCGGAAGTCGCGCAGCGTCTTGGTCAGGTCGTTGTTGGGCATGTGGCGTGTGATCTCGAGCAGGTTGTCGCCCGTGGGGACAATCGAGTCGTTGGCGCCCGACTCGCCGCGGTAGAACTGGGGCTCGTCCGAGACGCCCTCGTAGACGACGCCCTCGGGGAACATGCCGTTCTCGCCCTTCTTGGGGCCCGTGCCGAAGATGAAGCTGCGGTACTTGAGGTAGTCGGAGGGCAGCGAGCGGCCCCACATGGTGTCCATCGACAGGTTGATCTTGCGGTACGTCGTCAGCAGGCGCTCAAAGGCCTCCTCGAGCGCCGGGGCGTCGTTGTTGGTGACGGCGCGCAGCGCGTCCTCGGTGGCCGACACGAGGCGGCCCGTGTACGACACCATCTCGACGTGGACAAGGATGAAGCCGCGCTCGGAGCCGGCGGCGTCCTCGAAAGAGCGGATGAGCTCCATGTTGTCGAAGCTGTACTTGCCCGCCGTGCCCTGGTGGTTGGGGTCCTTGACGCGGTAGTTTTGCAGCGCGTACGACGACGCGTACTCCATGTAGGGGAAGTGGCCCAGCTTGTCGGCGAGCTTCTTGAGGGGCACGGCCAGCTGGCGCGGCAGCACGTCGCGTCCGCGGGCGTAGAGGCCCGTCTTGCGGAAGGCGATGTCGACGGGCTCGAGGAGGTAGGCCGAGGTCATGAAGCAGTAGTCGCGGAAGAGGGCGGCGATCAGGTGCGAGTTGCCCGACGCGATGGCCTGGTCGACGGCGCGGGCCTCGGCGCCCTCGGGGTCGAGCTCCGACAGCACGGCGTCGCCAAACTCGCCCTTGGCCAGCAGGCCGGGCTTGCGCTCGCCGTTGGCGTCGGCGGGCTGGCGGATCGTCATGCGGTCCAGCAGCGAGCTGAGGTTGTCAAACGCCGGAGGCAGCGTCGCCAGGGGGTCCTACGAAGGGGGAAAAGGGACGCGGCAAGGTCGGCGCGGCAAGGGTGTGGGGGGTCAGCGCGGTCCTACCATCAGCGGACGAAGCCGTGAGAGAGCCACGTACCTGGCGAGGGAGGAAGCCGCGCTCGCGGGAAATGACAAAGGGCGGCAGCTGCTCGATGGCCTTCTTGTCGCCCCTCTTGACGACGTCGAGCTCCTCGAGCAGGTAGGGCTCGATCTCGGGGGCTTTGCCGCGGGCAGTCTTGACGGCGGCGTCCGAGACCTGGGCGAGGCCACGTCGGGCAGCGGGCACGGCGACCATCGGGGCCAGGCGGGCGGCGGAGGCCGTCTGGCGGAGAGGGGCGAGACGCATGGTGGTCCGCATGGTGGGCGGCAGCGCGTTGGGCAGGTGGTTTGGTAGCTAGTGCTGGGCGGGTCGTTCAGTGCGGCAAGACTCTTGGATGCAGCGACGAGGGCGTCGGGGTTACGAGGGTCGAAAGGTCGCTTCGGGCAGCGAGGACAAGCCTTCTTCAGTCGATGAAGGCGGCTGGGTGGATGGGTGATGTGCTGTGGGCTGGCTAGGAGGGGGCAGAGCGGCGCTGACGGGGAGAGGCGATGGCGTCGGTCGACCTTTATACCGTGAGCACGGTGATACCAGTGCGCGAGCGAGACGGGAGGCAGGGGAACGACCGTCCGGTCACCGAGACGCCCCTCGACCCCTAGCCTGCTGTCGCTTCCTCCCAGCCTCATCCCAGGCCAGGCCTTTCTCCTCCCCTCGCGAGCGGCAGAGGACAGGGGGCGTGGCGAGGCAAAGGTCGGCCGACGAAGAAGCTGGGAATCGGCATCCGCCCGGCTGGCGGGCCACTGTCCGGGCCAAAGGACGGGCGGGCCAAAGTTCGGGCCAAAAGCGGGGCCTTTCCGAGCGAGCCCGCCCTCGCAATGTTGTATCAACGGATGGGCCGGTGGGGCATCGTGGACCCGCAGACCATCATGGCATCCGCCCTATCTGGACCTGCGGCGCTGGTGGGTAGGCCGAGGCAACGCGGCGGTCGCGAGGGAGAGGCAAGAGGCAGGGGGTAAGCTCAGTGTGAGAGGGCGAGTGGTGGGGGGGCGAGGAGGCAGGGGGCGACGGGCGAAGAGAGGATCGAGGCCGAGAGTCAAAACGGCGAAAGGCCCAGCCAGTCGGAGAGCGACGATTGTCGAAGCCCCTTTGCCTCGACCCGCAACCGTGCGTATCCGCTCAGAATGCCGGTCGCTCCTGCCCAGCGGCTGACTTGGTCCGGTCAACGCTCCCCGCCTTTGCGTCTCAGCTTGAGCCGGCGTTGAGCAGGACGGTATTGCAGCGTAGTCAAAGGTGATCACGGACAGCAGGCCAGGTCCAGCTTTCCTTTGCTCGACACCATCCCGAGCCGGGCCAGGTCAGGCCAGGGACAGGTCGACGGCGACAATGGTTCAGGTATCGGCACATCCCGAACCAGCAGAGGGGCCGGGGAGTGGGGCTAGGCCTGGGGTGGCCTGGCCAGGCAGGCGCGCGTATCGGTGGTGCGCGGCAGGCTCCGACACAGGCCTAGGGGACTGGGGAGGCAAGCACGGCCGGCCGGGCCAGGAGCCCCGCCTCGCTCGGCATTTTGCACGGCGTTCTCTGCACCTCGTCGTTTTCCACGGAGCGGAGCGGCAGGGCGAGGCGAGAGGTGCAGGTGAGGACCCTCCCAGTCAGCGAAAAGCCCCCCGCCTGGTTGCCCGCCCACCCGCCTCCTCGCCCTGCCTGCCTGCTCCCCGTGCCGCGTGCGTCGCCCGGAGACTTTTGCGAGGTCGGTCTCGACGTACGTGCAAGCTTGCGAGCAAGCAGGCAAGCAACCAGCGGCTCAGAGACAGCTCCGAACCACTAGCCTCTGGAGGGTCTCGGCTTCCGTTCAATCAAGGGCAGCGGCAGCGGCGACGGCGGCGGCGGCATCAGAGCGTCGCCCCTCCTCCCCCCTCCTGGCTGTCGCACGACTCTCGCAACCACAGGCACAGCGCTCGGCCGATACTCGTCGGAGGGCAGCCGCAGGCCAGTCCCGTCGAGCTTTCTAAAATTGCGTAGACATGCGAAGGGTGCCGTCCCACTAGGGGATCCGGCGAGGCTAGGTGCGATGCGATGCGATGCTGAGGGTGGAGGGCAGAGCAGCCAGATACGGAGCAACAGGGTGACCGAAAGAACGATAAGGGTCGAAGCAGGCAGTCGAGCCCATCAGCGAGACCCCTGCTCGAGGGTAGCGGATCTCTGCCGGCGGCCAGGAGGCGTCCGACGGCCCGCCATCGGTGCTCTCCGCGGGCTCCTACTCAACTGCCTATCGTCCGCCCTTCACAGAAGAATCTTGAGCTGGTGCCGCAAGGCCGCCTCGTTGTCGTTGGTCGCGGCGGCAGCCTTGCCCTTGCCGCCGTGGTGCTGCTTGGGAGACGAGACCGTGGCTCCGCTTCGTGTGGATGCGCCACCGGACGGGCCCGCTTCGGCGAGAAGAGGCGACCGGCTCCAAACCCTAGTCGGCACGTCGGCAAATTCGAGCAGCTGCTGGACGACCTTGTCCTTGTCCTTGTCCTTGGTACCGCCGCTGCCGCTGCCGCCGGCCCCGGATGACGGTGGTTTCTTCGGTAGCGACTTGGATGGACCAGCTGCCAGCACCGAGGACGACGGCAGCGAGCTCGACAGGTTGACGCTCTGGCTTGGCGGAGACGTCGCTCCTGCCTCGCCGCTGGCGCTTCCCTTGGCTGCTCGCTGCTTGCCCGCCGTCGTTGGACCTTGCGTCGGGATCGGTGGCGTGCCGCGGCGTTCGAGGTTGGGCGACGGCCCACGTCGGAAGAGCGATGTGGCCGACGCATTGTTGCCGCGCACGTGGTCGGCCAACGAGGCGAAGCGGTGGCGGGTGGCCGCCCTCGGGCTGTCGCCGTTGCTCGGACTCGGACTGCCCCGCCGCGCGCCCTGCGACTGCGACGCAACGTGCCATTGCTGCTGCTGCTGCTGCTGCTGCTGCTGCGGCCGGAAGGCGCCATCCGATTGGCTCGGCGGCAGCGGACTGCGGCGCCCACCGCGCCACAGGTCGCTCGGCGCCCTTTGCCGGTCCTCCTGCAGCGACGGCCTGGGCGAGAAGCTGTGCATCACGCGGCCCGTCGAGGTCGGGCCTGCCGACATGGGCCCTCTCGCGTTGCTGGCTTCTGATGCCCGATCGGAGGCTTCCCGCTGCGCCCCGGCCGCAGAATGGGCGAGGTACTCGCTGTACAGGTCCAGTGATGGGCGCACGTAGCTCGAGGCGTCGTTGCCCGCGCCCAGCATCAGAGGACGGTGGGGCGACGTTGTCCCGTTGCGGTTGCTCGCGTGCAGGTCCTGGCCGGGTTGCGCAAACGTCTGCATCGTCGCGGCATCAGTGGAAAGGGATTGGTGGCTTTTGCGTCGTCAGCATCATCCGTGCATGGTCCATCCTCGGCGTGGCCCGCCGCGCTTCGATCCCGATCGGGACTCACACGTTCGGGGTCCCAGTCGTCGTACAGCTTCCCGCTCAGCGCCTCTTCCTGGTCGAGGCCGTAGCCGTGGCCTTCGAATGCCGACAGGGTGGCAGAGTGCGGCGCGATGGGCTTGGGGCTGTAGACGACGCCCTTGACCGCCTGGTCGATGCCCAGCGGCAGTGGTGGAGGCTTGAACTCGGTGCGCGGCTTGCCGCCATGCCGCCCAAAGTAGGTGTCGTCGTCGAGGCTTCGCCGGAAGGCGGATCCCGACGGTCCCGCCCCAGGAGCCGAGGCCGAGCCGCTGGCTGCTGCAGACGACGAGGCGTTGGCAGCCGCCTGCCCTCGCCGCGTCCGCTTGCGCGCTTCAAACTGGGCGCGCCCGAACGCCTCGAGGGCGGCCTTGACGCTGTGGGTGAAGGCAAAGTCGGCAGCGGTGAAGCCGTCCTGGTTCTGGGTGGCAAACGAGCAGCCCCGCTCGATGAGGAGCTGGACGAGCGAGAGGTGGCCCCACGCCGAGGCGCAGTGGAGCGCCGTGTTGCCCTCGCGGTCCGGCGCGTCGATGGTCGCGCCGAGGTCGAGCAGCTGCCGCGCCACGTCCTCGTGGCCCTTGATGCAGGCGAGGTGGAGCGGGGTGCGTCGATCGTGGAAGCTGCAGCGATCGACGAGCTCCGACATGGGGACGGCGACGTAGATGCTGCTGTAGGTCGAATAGGCGTAGATGACGTCGGCACGGTCGTAGAGGGCGGCGAGGTGGAGGACATTGTGGCCGTAGATGTCGTTGCTGGGGCCCTTTTGCTCGTGGCCCATCTCGATGAGCCAGCGGATGAGCTCAATGTCGGCATTGTTCTTGATGGCGAGGACGAGGCTCGAGTCGCGGCCATCGTCGAGCGAGCTCTCGTGGCTGGCGCCCAGGCGGTACGTGTAGTTGGGCAGCTTGGTGCGCTTTCCGGCGAGCTCGGCATGCTGGACGTTGCGGACGTCGAACGGGTGTCCGCCCGACAGCGGCCGGCGCGACGTGGCGGTTCGAGGGATAGGCTTGGAGGGCAGAGGGCGGACGAGGCCGACGCTTGGCTGGAGCGCCTCGAAGCCTGGGGATGGGCGCGGCTGAAGCTGGTCGGTCTGCCAGGGTTGATGCTGGTGCTGGTGCTGGTGCTGCTGCTGCTGCTGCTGCTGCTGCTGCTGCAGCTCAAATGCCCTGCTCGCGATGCGCTGGGCGAGGGCGAGGTCGTCGTGTTTGATGGCGCGGCGAAAGCGCTGGGCGAGGGTCGTCTGCGAGGTGGCAGCCGAAGCGCCGGCGGTCGAGGAGCCAGATGCGTTGCGCGCGGGGGGCGAAGGGAGCGATGGCTTGATGAATGCCTGAGGCGTCGATGGATAGAGAAACGAGGGCATCATCCTGGCCAGGCGGGGCCCCCCGTTTCGGCGACGCCTTGGTGCCAGACTACGAGCCAAGCCTAGCACAAGGTGCCGACCGCGATGGTAGGGGCAGAAGTAGCAGCAGCAGCACCGCCGAGACTGCGCTGAACCTGACGTGGGTCCGTAGAGTCGGGGGAGCAGGCGGGCGGGCGTTCGAACAGCCTTCGATGGGCGAGGCTGGATAGAGGTGTCGTAGCAAGCCCGGTAGTGGTCAAGGGCGCTGTGCCGACCGTCCCTGATCAAAGCTGGGTAGATGAAAGGTTGCCGCGTGAGAGGGAGCCAGGCGCGGGGGCCGTCGATGGCCTCGCAGGGCGTGCAAGGCGAGGCAGACGTCGAGAGGAATCGAAAGGGGCCGGGGAAGTCGGAAGGCAATGCCAGGACCTCGGCGGTTGACAATGGCGGCCAGGGCGGCTTCGAGTGCGTTGTGCGCCGCGCTCCGGTGCGTATTGTGAGGGCGCGTGGTGGTGCGGGCGAGCGACGAGCTCAGACCCCCGTTTGCATCATGATGATGGAGGTGGCAGATGAGGGCCATGGACGGTCGAGGGAAGAGGACAGGGCCACCCACCAGTTGATGGCCACCAGGGCTAATAACCAAGATGGCATAAAGACAGGCGGGCAGGGCGGGCGAGCAGGCCAGCAGGCCAGCAGCAGGCCCAGCGCACCAAGCTCAAGGCTAAGCGGGCCTGCCTGCCAACAAAGGTTTGCCTGCTCGCCCGCCCTCGTGCCTTTGCCGGTGTGGAGGAAGGCCAAGGGAGAGAGAGCCCAGCAGAGGCCGGGGGCGTTCCAGGCCACCCGACGGGCCACTCCCGAAGCAGGCCCCTACGCCGGCTGCCGACGGGCGGATCCATCGCCGACGCCGCCAACGCCAAACGCCGAGCCACAGGCAGGCGACCCAGCAGAGCAGCCCAGAGGCCGCCTGCTACACCACACCACGCCACGCCACCCAACCGTCAATCCGGAATCGACACGTACGACATGTCGAGAGATGGCACAAGCAAACGGCAAGCAAGCACGCACGCTTAGCAGCAACAATCAGCTGCTCTTACCCCCTAGCGACCCCCCCGTGCGTGCGAAGATCTGACACGAGGTACCGGTCGGCTACAGAGGTACGTACTGCAGGCACCACACGAGGCCGGGACGCTGCCCTCCGCGACAACAGAAGGTGCATCGTCGTCGGCGGCGCACCTGCTTGCGTTCTTCCAGTCCGGAATCGGGGGTCGAGTCTCTCGACTTTCGACAGGGACGTCGCTTTTTTCGCGAGGCAACGCCGTCGCAAGACGCTGGCGCTTTCATGAGACCGGCACAAGAGGCCGCCGAACGACATCGACCCAAAGTGCGCCCAAACCGCTTCGGCCTGGCCTGGCCTGGCCTGGCTCTGCCGGCCAAGGGTGGGGTTGGCGAGGCAAGCCAGCGGAAAGGCAGCGCGGGCGAACTCATCGCCCTCCTCGAATCGGGACGCGTCGCTCGATTTCGAAACGAGCCGATCCCGTCTGTGATCGATTTGGCAAAGGTGATCGGACGCACGTCGACGTATATATGTTTTTTATTCCTTCTGCGGCCGCGCCGTCGCTTGCGGCCAAGGCCAGGGGCGAGCGAACTGATCTGACGCAGATCCTCAATCTCCATCTAGGCCAGCAGAGCTCTCGGGCTGGCGGGCACCCCCGTTTCTGCACCTCCTCCACCGTGCGTCGGGCTCGTCTCGTTCCTCCAATCCGCGGTCGTCGTCATCTTGCCGCCTGGCCTAAGCCAGCCGACGCCTTTGGCCGGCCAGCGTCGGACTGCCCGTCGATGGTGCGTATGGTTGAAGCAAGGATCGCACAGCCCGCCCGCCTGCCCCTTTGCCTCGGCCTGGCCCTCAGCCCTCTGAGGTCGGTTATTGGCCCGAGCGCGGCTTCCACTCGCTTCTTCCAGCTTTTTTGGCCCGCTCGCTCGCTCGCTCAGTGCGGGTGGGCCACCGTGACCTCCTTTCTGGTTGCGACATAGCTGACGCTCGGATTGGGCGCGAACATGGTGCGTGCCAACTGGTCCTACGCCCGTCAGCGAGGGGTTCACGGCAGGGCGATTGCCTGACGCAAAGCAGTGCGCTCAAACAAGAGACGGAGAGGCAGGCTGGGGTGAGGTGATGGCGGGCTCGCCGGCCTCAACTCGGGCCATGCTGCGCTGGGGCCCGCCGCCGCCGCCCGGACTTTTTTGCTCGTTGCCTCGTACCGTACCGCCAGCCAGCAGCGAGGCGGCAGGCAGCTCTGGGGGCTTCTGGTCGACGAGTACAAAACCCGGGCCCCGCCACCGCCGACCTTCCCTCATCTCCTCCACACCATCCTTCTGCCACCCAGCCACCCAACACATCGCCCCCCTCGATCAACCTATTGTAAGTTTGCGGCTTGCCTCGTTCTGTCACGCCCTTTCTCTGCCTCGCCGGCAACGGCGACGACGCTGGACCGCAAGGCTGTCTTGGCTCTGTCGCCCGTTGCTGGTGGTACCCGCTCCGCCGCTCTCCCGCTCTCTTTTCTTCCCACCTGCCGGCCTATCGACAAATCTAAACACTCACTTACCTTTAGACCTTGCCTCTTGCCGCCCGCCATGCAACCCACGCTCCTCCGCTCGTTTGCCTCGACACGCAGCATCATGTCCAACGTCTTCTTCGACATCACCAAGAACGGCTCGCCCATGGGCCGCATCGAGTTCAAGCTGTTCGACGACGTCGTCCCCAAGACGGCCAAGAACTTCCGCGAGCTCTGCACCGGCGCCCCCGGCTTCGGCTACGAGGGATCCAGCTTCCACCGTGTCATCCCCCAGTTCATGCTTCAGGGCGGTGACTTCACTGCCGGCAACGGCACCGGCGGCAAGTCGATCTACGGCGCCAAGTGAGTGCACTTTGGCAGTCGCCGCGGCGCGGCTCTCGAATCGACAGAGGAGGTGCGGAAAGCTGACCGAGTGCTTTGCTGCTCGTCCACACCTCGTCCTCCGCCCAGGTTCGCTGACGAGAACTTCCAGCTCAAGCACACCAAGCCCGGTCTTCTCTCGATGGCCAACGCTGGCCCCAACACCAACGGAAGCCAGTTCTTCATCACCACGTGAGTAGGCCGCACAGGGTGCGTTACGTGGTGTCAGGGACGCACGAGTCTGACCCGGCCCCTCGTTTCCTTGCCACCCCTTTTTTGGACCCCACAGCGTCGTCACCTCGTGGCTCGATGGCAAGCACGTCGTCTTCGGCGAGGTCGTCAAGGGCATGGACATCGTCCAGGCCATTGAGCGCGAGGGAACTGCCTCGGGCAAGACCAAGAGCCAGATCACCATTGCCAAGTCCGGCACTGTCTAAATGTGCCCAGGCTTGATAGTGGCAGGTCCGGGCTGTGTCGATGAGCGGCAGGGTGCGGCCGGCTTCTTGCCCGGTCGCAGCTCCTCCCTCTGCCGTCCGCGCTGCTCGTTGATCGATCCCCGATAGCTATGGTTGCGAACGAATGAAGAAACAATATCTGCAGCAGGAGACTCCTACATGGGCGTGCCGGGTGTGCCAGATCAGGCATCGACAGGCAGGGCGGTAAATGTCCGCCTCGTGGTGTTCCATCGAAGAGCAAGCTTTCTTGCCGAGCCGGCGACACTTGGGCTGCCGCTGTCTGAGCATACCAGTGCACCGCCCGGTTGCTGCCAGGGGACCCCCATCGGAGGCCATGGCGAGCATCCCGCCAGGCAGATCGAGTGTCGTGAAGATGGCGACGAGCGTGGATGAACGAAGACGGTGTGAGGCCTGCGAGGCAGGCGACACGCTCGAGCGTGGCGAGGTCGGCGATGCCAGGCCAGGCCAGGATGAGGATTTCCATCTGAAAGCTGGCGCGTGCGCACCGAGGCCAGGCCAGGCACAGGCCACACATGGGCACAGGCCAAGCCCGACCCCCCGGCAGCAGGCTGCAGGCCTGGCCAGGCAAGCAGGCAGGCAAGCCACATGCAATTGCTGCTGGGCCTGGCTGCGTGGGTGCATCGGGACCACCACCCTGCCTGCCTGCCTTCGGAAACCTTACCCTGGCAGCCTCACCTACCACTACCCGGCCTAGCCTACCATCACCAGCAACCAGCCCGCCAGCCGCGAGCTCGGATCATCCGCTGCTCTCTCCCGGCGTCGGTCTCGGGCGCCCCTGCCGAGCCAGTAGTCTGATCTGCCTGCCCGTCTGCTCGCCAGCTTCTTCTCACGTTATCGTCACCGCCCGACTACCACCACCATCATCACACGCACCAACGACCTCCGTCGTGGGCCAGAGAGTAGTCAGTCTGCAGCGTCGCTCGGACCCCTGCCTCTGCTGCCTGCCTGCTCGCGTCGAGATCGTGCATGACCGCCTCCTTGTCCCTCTCTCCCTCTCTCGCTCTCTGCCCCTCCCACCGACCTGGGCATCGCATCGCCCTTCGCACGGCTCCATTGCATAAACCAACGGGCGAACGCCGCGGCAGTCCCGACTGACTGGGACCACGCAGGTCTTTGCACGGTCCATCGCCGCCCTCTTTTGAGGCAGACAAAGGGCGCAACGAGGCCAGCTGATCTCGTCGGCGGCTCACTTTCTTCCGGACCTCGTCCATCGACCCACCCTCATCCCCCCTGGCCTCGCCACTCGACGCTCCTTCTCGTTTTCGTCTCCTCGACCGAGGCTGGTCCGGACAACGCTTGCTCCCAAAGGCAACCGCCATCTCTAGGTCACCAGCAGCACCTGGTTCCACCGCATTTGCATAGCCACGCCGTCGACCAGGAGCAACTGCAAGATCTCGCACCGGCCAGACACCTTCAAGCTATCCGCATCGGCACATCCCTTCGTCTCTTGACGCCCTCCCGGCGACGATCACCAAGACTCCAACTGGGCCGCCATGTCGTCGCTCCTTCGCTCCGCCCAGTCGTTGTTCGACAGCCCCGTCCTGCGCTCCTCGAGGTCGCTCCTCGAGTCAACCCTCTTTCGATCGGCAGAGCCAACGCCCAGCCGCACCGCCGCCGCGCTCGACCTTCTCTTTGGCCCGCCCGTGCCCTACTTTGTCTCAATCTTCTCACAGGCCTGCCGCCTCATCGCCGTCGCAATCGTCCTGCCCATCTTCTTCGTGGGCCTGCTCGACTTTGCCGGGTATGCCGTGTTCCGTACCCTCGGTAAGTACGAGCGGCCCGCGTCCGCCTATGTCGTGCAGCGCTAGCGCGATCCGGATGAACGGGGCACTGGCGGCCAAGAGGTCATCGGGCCTAGATCGGCGGCGATGATGGCCGAAGGCCTCTAGCAGCATGTAAGGCTCTCTCTCTCTCCTGCAGCCGCCGCCGCGGTCCTTTGACCCATCGTGCATGCTCACTAGCACCCGCTGCGCGAGGCGAGGCCTCTCCGCGTCCCTCGAAGAGGTCTCGAGGCAACCACGAGGCTCGGAAGCCCGTCCATCTCTGACCGACTTGCGCATCTCGTCCCCTCTCGCCGTACCCGCCACCCCTGCAGGTCTTCATCGCCAGCGAGTCCGCGTCAAGCGGCCCCGCGACTCGACTGGCCCGCCGCAGCGCTTCGTCAAGCGTCAACCGCGCCAGTATCAGTCCGACCGCGGCCGGCCGACCGACAACTCGAACGTCCCGTCGATTGTCAAGGCGCCGCTCCTCTCACCGGGCACCTACGACGCCGAGACGCTGCTGCGACACCGCGCCCGCTCGCTCAGTGCCGCGTCGGAGGACTTTGACCGCGAGTACATCAACAGCGGCGGCTACTTTGCCCGCGTCGGCGTCAAAAAGGGGCGCGGGGCAAGCGGCGACGACGACGCCGACGATCTCTTGTCGCCTAGTGAAGGCGAGGAGGGCGGCGGCGCCGCCTACCCGCAGTCGCTCCGGGTTCCTGGCATCGGCGTCGATGGCGCGCTCGGCTTCATGGACACCGACGGCGAGAGCGGCACCGAGAGCGGGCGCAACAGCCCCGTCCGCCGCTTTGCCAGCCTCGAGCGACCGTCGCCGGCCCGGAGGCGCGGGCTGAGCGGCGGACTCAAATTCACCAAGGTCACCGACGACGACGAGCAGTCGCGGATGCAGAGCCTCACACCGCAATCGCCGGCGACCGGGGCAGCGGCAGCGACGAACAAGCCGACGACCAAGGCGGCATCGGAAACGAGCGAGGCGGGCGGCACCGAGAGCATGGGCGGGTCGTGGATCGGCATCGAGACGGGCGATGATCCGGCCGCCGTCGTCGACGCTGCCGCAGCAGCCGCGGCCGATCTCGAACCCACGTCGAGCTTCTGAGCCATCCTCGCCGTCGTTGTCGTTGCCGTCGTCGATCGGCCGCACCGCACCGCCAAGGGTGCCACCCCGTCCGCAGCCGGAATGTTCCCTCCTGTCTTTTTTCCCCCGTGGCTGTCACGTCGAAACGGTCTTTTGTTGTTCCTGTCGTCTGTCGTTGTCGTGCCCTGGCTGGCTGACTGCCTTCCTGGCGAGAGTTTCGGATCGTGCTGACTGGGTCGTCGTGGTGGACTGCGACTTCCAGATGCGGAGCAGAGGGGGAAAGGCTACGAGGGACAGAGGGCGGGATGGGACGGGACGGGAGACGGTATACAGAGGGTCTAGGCTAGGCGATGCGATGTTGAGAATGCAGAGGAGCGGTGGTGGTGGCTGTCGAGCCAGCCGAGGGTGGTGGGCGAGAGGGGTATATGCAGTTGAAGCACGATATGGCGAGACGGAGCGGGGGCGGACAAGGCGAGGTGGGGATGCAGCATGGAAAAAAGGTCGGCAGGATGGTCAGGCCCGGCGGGTGGCTGGCCGGGGACGCCTCAGACGTGGACGTTTGCCAGGGCGCGCAGCTTGTCGAGCACCTCGATCCATTCCTTTGCGGGATCCGAGAGGTAGGTGATGGCGCCGCCCGCGCCGATCGAGACGTCATCGCCCTCGGCGACGAGGGTGCGGATGACGACGGCAAAGTCGGCGGCGCCGTCGATCCCCATCCACCCCAGCGCGCCCGAATACACGCCCCTCCTCGCCGCCACCGACGACGAGGACGAGGACGAGGACGTGGACGAGGGTGAAAGTTCCAGACGCTCGAGAAGCTGTACGCTTCTCCTCTTTGGCGCGCCCGTCATGCTGCCCGGTGGGAAGCAGCGCTGGACCGCCTCGACGCTCCCGACGCCGCGCTTGAGTTGGCCCCGCACCGTGGTGACGAGTTGGTGCACCGTCTCGTACGTCTCGACGCTCATCAGTTTGGGCACCACGACCGAGTCGGCGTGGCAGAATGACTGCAGATCGGCGCGGATCAGATCGACAATCTGTGCGTGTGCGCAGCCGGCGTGGGTCGGTCAAGAAGGGGAGGGAGGGGGGGCAACGACGCACGCGGTCAGCACACCGAGTTCGGAGCGCCCGCACCAGGTCCCGACCGGCCGCGTCCCAACTCACCATGAGGTTCTCGGCGCGCTCCTTGACATCCGCCGCCAGCCGCTGCCGCCGCCGCGCATCGCCAGCCTGGCGCCAGCGCAGCTTTTCCTCCTCCTCGTCCGCCGTCCCGCCGCCGGCACGCATCCCCTCCTCGTCCTGCCCGTACCCGGCCCGCGCCAGCGTGCCCTTGATGGGCTTCATCTCGACCTCGCCCTGCTGCGTGATCCGGATAAACCGCTCCGGACTCGTACACAGGATCGACCGGCCTCGCTGCGGTCCGGCCGCGGCGCCCGCCTCCGTCGTCGAGGGCGCCAGGGCGTGGTCCGGCAGTCGGATGAAGGCAGAGTAGGGCGCCGGGTTGCGTGCGCGCAGCTTGCAGTACAGACCAAAGTGATCCAGCTCGTCTCGATCGATCCCGCTTGCATCGGAAGCAGCACCGGCGACGAGCGGAGGCATGCGACCGCGGAACTGAGTCGTGAGGCACAGCTCGTAGCTCTCGCCGCGCAGGATCTCGTCGCGCGCCAGCTCAATCCGGTGCATGTACTCGTCGGCGCTCAGGCGTGGCTGTAGGGGCGGCAGCGCGTCCTTGATGGCGTGGGCAGCAGGCGCGCGGTACGACTTGGCCGCGTCGGGCATCTCGTGCAGCGCCTGCGACACTTCGTCGAACCACTGCTGCGCCTCGCTCTCTGTCACCGCCAGCTGTTGCGCTCGGACGTCGTCGGAACCGGAGCCGGATCGCCGCAGCGCGTCTTGGATCGCAGAGACCGGCCAACAGGGCTGCGTCGATGTCGCCCCAGCTTGCAGTGGGCTGGAGCCGGCCCGTGTCAACGCAAAGGCGGTCCACTGGCGCAGGTGGTGGTCGAAAGCCAGCACGCGGTCGCAAAAGAGGAACTCGCAGTCCGGCCGGTCCCTGCGGCCATCGTGCTGATCTGCGTCCGTCGATGGCACGGGCGAGTCCAGATTGAGGCTCTCGCCCTTCATCTCGTAGCCAAAGTATCCGACGAAGCCGGTACGGAAAACGCTGCCGGCCGCCTCGGTGGCCAAGGCGTCGTCGTCGCCGAGATCCGCCGCGGCCTTGAACGCGCTCTGGAGACGGTCCATAAACGTCCAGAACGACGTCGGCTCGGCAGGGTGTGTACCTGCAGCAGAATTGCCGTGCGGCGGCTCGTCCATCGAGACCAACACAGCCTTTGACGCATCGCGGGTCGTCATCAGGCGCAGCTGCCGGGTCGAGGCGTTGTACGACAGCACAAACGTTGGCACGGCCATGTACGAGAAGCGGCTGTGCGGGTCCTTGAGCCGGGCCGAGTCGAGCCAGACGGCACCGACATTGCTCTTGTGCTGGAAGGCACGGCGGAACAGCTCCGGGGCCAAGCGCTCGCACTCGAACGGCGGCACATCGAGGCGGGTCGAGATGATGTGGAAGTCCTTTGAGCGAGGAGGCGAGGATGTCGGCTCGGTATCGACGAGCGACGATGGCGTTAGAGATGCGGCTTTGCCGGCGGCGACGCACCGTGCCCCCGCCAGGCGGAGCTCGGCCGGCAGCGTGGCCCTGCCCTCGATGGCATCTCGCCGCGCTGCAGCTTCGGTCGGGTCGAGCTGACCGGCTTCGGCTTTGGCGGCCCAATAGGACCGAACGATGGCGAGGAAGTTGCGCATCATGTGTCGGCCCGAACTCGACTCGATGCTCTCGGGATGGAACTGGACGCCATAGAGGGGTCGGGTGCGATGCTGGAGGGCGAGCACGACGCGATCGAGGTCGTCCTGGGCGGGGTCGTGCAGGTCCTCGTCGAGCTCGCCGAGGCTTGAGGACGAGTCGGAGGCGAGGCTGTCGAGCGCGAGCTTGGAACGAAGCCGCTGGGCGGCATCAGAGGGGGTGCTGCGTCCCGAAGAGGCTGCCAGCTGTTCGGCAGAGTAGCGCGGCGTGGTGCTGCCAGACTGGGCGGGGCGGAGCGCGTGCTGGACACAGGAGCGGAGGAGGTCGGTGCGTGGGCGAGTATGGGGCAGCGGCGCCTTGCAGGGCTCATCAAAGCCCCATGCGGTGACGCGGAGGCACGATGGAAGCGTGTCGATGTCGACGGTGAGGCTATTGTAGCGGATGACCTGGGTCCCCTCTGCAATGCCTTCGAGCAGGCAGGGGTATGGCGAGGAGGTGGTGGGCAGCTGCTGACCCTTTGCAGTTTCAGCAGCAGCGATGCAAAGGGCGGTCTTGAGTCCGTGGCGGACGCTCCTTGCCTTTACGACCCTGCCTCCAAAGGCGGTGGCCAGGCCCTGGTGACCGAGGCAGACGCCGAGGACGGGCAGGCCGAGGTCGTCGTCGCGGAGGAGCGCGTCGGCGGCGCCAAAGTCGTCTGGATTGTCGGGAGAGCCGGGACCGGGCGAGAGGATGATGGCGTCGATGTGAGGCCGTACATGGCGTCGAAAGGCGTCCGGGCGCAGGAGCGGGTGGGTGTGTGGCAGGACAAAGACGCGCTCCGAGAGCTGGTGCGAGGCGGAGTTGGACAAGGTGTCGCGCGGCTGCGATGACTGCTGCGGCGGCGGCGGCTGGTCCGGGAGGAGGAGGGTGAAGAGGTTGAGCGTGTACGAGTCATGATGGTCTACGATGAGGATGCGCGGCAGCGGCAGGCGCCCCTCGGTGGGTGCCGCCGGAGACGCCATGGTCGGGTGCGGTGTGGCTAGGCGGTGGACCAGCAGCGCGAGGCCATGGTCCGAATCGCAGACACAGTCTGTGTCGGTCCAGATGATGTGCGTCGAAGCAGCGGTCGCGGCTCAGCTGGAGCGGAAGCGCGAGGCAGTGGTGGACAGAGAGAGTGAGAAAGAGAGAGACAGAGAGAGAGAGAGTGAGGAGAAGAGGGAGAGATAAGGAAGGGCAGGCCAGCGTCGGGCCAGCCGACTGCGGGGCCCAAGAAGGGCCAGGCCAAGCCAAGCCAAGCTGAGCAAGAGGCCAGTCCGGCCCTCGCTCGCCCCAGTCTTCCGAAGCCAAAAAAGCCAGCGGCCCCAGGCCCGGTTTTCATGCCCGCCTCCCGAAGGCCCGGCGTGGCCCACGTTGGCCGCACGCGTGCATCCAGCTGCTCTCTCGGGCCTCGGCCCGAACCCGCACTCCGACCGGCCGCAACCCGACGAGGTCGAGCACCTGCTCGGCACCGAAGTCGAGCCCTCCTCGCTCCCTGCTCTTCATTTTTCTTTTCTCTCCGTCGCCCCTCCTGGTTCAGAAGAAATCAAAAAGCGGCCAGCCCCCGGTCGTTCTTCCCTCCCCTCTATCACCACCAATCACCCATCCCTCGTCATCGATCCTCATCCTGCAAGCCTGTTCCCACCGCCGCGGTTGTGTGATTCCCGCCACTTCGCCCAGGGAGTCAGCGCCTGCTTCGTTCCCTTCCACTGCATCCGAGCTTCATCCCAGCCCGCCGACTCCGACCCGTCGGATGGTATCGGCTGTCCGCCACCGTCGTCGATCGACTCGCCTCGTCCCGGCTGTGATCCTGTCCTTCCTCTCCCTCACGCACTCAACTCTTTGATCGCCCTCCCCCTAGCTTGCCCACCGACCCGCCCCTGCCTGAGCCACCTTCCCTCTCCTTCCCTCATCCCCCCTCCTCATCCTCCGCCCGCAAATTAGTAGAATCCTTCTGGCTCCTACCCTCCGCCTCGGCGAGGGCCATGGACAAACACCCATGCCAGTTGTGATGGGACAACGCGGGCCACAGCACCCTCCCCTCGTCTTTTCGGGGGGGCAGACTAATAACTATCCCGCGCCTTTCGACTTCTCCATGGAGGCGTGGGCTGAAATGCCTGGCACATCCTATCCGCCACCCTCCGCTCTCGACTTTTGCTCTGTCTTTGCTCTCTGCGACGACGGCGGCGACGACGACGACGACGACCGTCCCGCTGCCCTCTGCCAGTCCAATCTTGCCAAAGCATCATCCCACGTGCTGTGCGCAGCTCGCCCACTGCCGGTCGTCGCGACCATCTGCATCACTGCTTGCCTGCCGCTGCGGTGGGTCTGAAATTTCAGATCGAATGTGTCTATTGAAGAGGAAGACAGAAGTGCGAAGTGCAGAACCCAGCGTAGGTCGGTTGCCTTCATGGGCTTGCTAGCGCCACAGAGCCACGACGTCGCCTGACGAATTGAGCAAGGCGGCGCCGCTGCTCGAACCTTTAGTCGCGCCCCTCGCCGCTGCTTCATCCCACGACTCTCGATGGTCAGCGCCGACGCCGCAGGCGGGCGAGACGTAGCGAGTAGCGCGGCAGTCGTCCTCGACGACGGACATGGCCAGAGGTCGCGGTTGGCCGTCGAAGCTGAACGACGGTAGCGGTGCAGCGCTGCCACCGAGGCCGTCGAGGTAGCTCGCGTTGCCTGCACGGGGGCTTCCGCCGCCGCCGCCGCCAGAAGCAGAGTAGTGGCCTTCCGACCGGCTCCCGCTCGTCTCTACAACCGACGCGCTCTGGCTCTGCCAGTCCGGCACCGCCAGGCTAAAGTGCGGCAGCCGGGCATCGCCGCTACCGAAGCCGACGACGGCATCGGACCAGGCGTGCGGCTCCGTGACAAGGTCCGACGGCGGCGCGGGAGACAGAGGCATGCTGTTGCTGCGCGCCAAGCCCTCGCTGGCTGGATGGAGCCGCTCAATGAGCTGCGATCCGCTGTACTCCATGACCGAGGCATTGGGCAGGCCCAGCATGCGCGGCATGGTCGACGGCAGGTCCGGTGAGCCGTTGGAGGAGAGTGGCGAGTATCGCGACCCAAATCGGCGCGCTAGGGCGGTCTGGGCAGCGAACGACGGTGCGCGGTAGCCGCCGGCGTGAGCGGACGACATCGCGTTGCGTCCTCGCACGTCGGTCGTCACCTTGCGCTTCTTTTCGACAATGGTAAAGTGGCACAGTCGACCCGACCTCGTGCAGCGATTGCACGGCTGCGTGCCCGAGCACTGTCACAAGTGGGGTCCGTCGGCAGAGGGATCCAGCAGGGGTCACAATGGACAATGGAGGGGGAGGGTTCCGGCGTGAGTGGGGAAGCAAGGGTGGCAACAATTACCAGCGTCAGCCCTTCGTATTCGTCCGCATCGCTGGAGCGCGTCGAAACGAACGGCAAGGCCGGCCCGCCAACGCACCTTTGCCTTTCTCTGCCGACAGTGCTCGCACGCGTGGGTCACCCGCACGCCCCTCTGGTCGAAGAGCTGGAGGCACTGCTGCTCGGCCTCGCGCTCCGCCTCCTCAGTGGCCAGCCGAGCCTGCATCTCGAGCATCTCGGCTTGGGCCTGCAACGCGGCGAGGTCGAGCTGCGGGTGTACCGGCGACGTGGCGCGATCGTGGCACTGCTCAGGCTGCGACGCCTTCGGGCTCGGTCCGCGTTGGGACGGCGAGCTTTGTGTCCGCCCCGCCTGCGGCAGCAGGGCGGCTTCGTTGAGAGGGGACTGGTGCGGCACCAGCTGCCGTGACTGCAGCAGCATCGATGGTGGCGGTTTGCCTGATAACGAGGATGGTGGAGCTGTTGTCGACGCTGCTGGTACTGGCGCGATGCGAATAGCGCCGGCTTGGCATGGAGACTGACGTTGACGCATCTCGAGGATCGGACAGATGCTTGGGCCGGGGCAGTCGTCGCAGCGGCGAGAGGAAGCGAACGGAGGTTGGGACAGGCGGGTGCGATGTTCGGCGCCGTCCGAGCTCGCTGCCCGCCATTTTGTAGATCCGACCGGGCGGCGGTGGTGGAGGAGTGACCTAGCCTCTGTCTGCGACCTGGCGCGCACGCTCTCGAGCATCGCTGCGAGGACCCTATGGGCAGCTTTGGCAGGCTGCTCTGCCCACGCGCCCGGCAAAGACGCTCTGAGCCTGCAGGCTAAGCTCGGGGAGACGACAGGTCGGGAGGCAAAAAGAGGCAGAGAGAGAAGGAGAGCGGGGCAAAGCAAGGTGGGGTGTGGGCAGGGTCAGCGGGACCCCGATCTCTGTCTACCTGCTGTGTCTGTTGTCCGCTGTCGTCCGTTGCGTTGGTCTGTACGGTCGCGACGTGCATCTTGCTTGTTCCTCGCCTTCGCCTCTTTTGTGTCGCTGCCGATGGGGGCCGGGGTGGTAGGGCAACGCGGATCAACCACCGCATTGGGTCAGTGGCCAGGAACGTTGCCCGTCGTCATTCTCGGGCTCGTGGGCCGCACGTTATTGGCTGTGCCGCGAGGCCCCCGTCGTCGCCACCAGGGGCGATCTGCGCCGTTCCAGTGCCTTGGCTGGCCGCGTCCCCTTCTCTCCGGCCGGTGCGTCCGAAAAGAGGCTAGGACAGGCTAGGTCGCCAAGGACCTGCTTGTCGACATGCGCGAGCCTGCTGTGGGCGGGCGGCGAGTGACCTGGGGAACGAAATTAGGTTCGGGGGGGCCTCGGAGAGCGGTCGGGGCGAAGCGCCAAGCACAGTGGCGCAAACGCTTGTCTGATAAGCATCGACCGGCTTCACGGCCAGCAAAGGCAGGCCTGAGGAGGATTGAAGCGCCGCTAAAGATGGTGGGCTCGCCGCGCGTACCTTCGTTGCGTTCGTCAGGGGCGCGTGCGCACCGCCGGACTCTGCGACCGAATGGCTGAGGCAGTAGGCAGAGACGAGCCATCCGTCTTCCGGCGGCCCATTGACCGGCCAGGCGCGGGCATCTCGCCAGCCCACCCAACGAGAGAGCTGGATCGCCGCGCCATTGTGCCGGCCCAGCGAGTCGACGACGCTGACTCCATCCGCATCGAGGTCAGGTGGGCGAGTGAGCGTCCTTGTGCCCATAGAGAAGAGAGCAGGGGCAAAGGTCGGGATCGGTGGAGGCGGTTCTGTCTTTCGTACAGGGGGGGCTGCTCAAGACAGAGGGAGGAGACGCCTTTATGTGTTCTGCCCCCCGCCAGATCAACGCTCACGATGGGGACCGGCGGCGCTGCCGCATAGCGACACGACGACAGGAGCGGGTCGACGGGTGGCGATCCGAGGCGTCGAAAGCGAGAGCTGCGAGGGCCTGGCTTGCCTGCGTGGCGGACGCGGTGGTATTCCCACGGACGACGGTCAACGGGCCTCGATCTCATCAGCAGGCAGCGATGCAACAGCCGTGCCTGCCTGGCTGCCTCCTGACCATCGCAGAGTTCAGAGGAGGCCGAATCAAGCAGGGATTTCGGCGCAACCCGCTTTTTTGCGCGTTTAAAAAAGACGCAACATCCGCGCGTCGGGCTCGGGATCCCGGCCTCGACGCGGCCTTGCCCACGAGCGTTCCGCTTGCCTGCTTCCCATCCAGAGTCGCCGCTTGGGTGCCCCGTGGGTGACTACGCCCCTCACCATCGCCTGCCTACTGGCTTGCGTACGTGCTTGCTTGTTTGCGGCTCCCTGCCGGGCTAGCTGCGCCCGCGAAGGGCTTTCCAGGTTGCAGCAGTCGAGCAAACGGGCGTGGTCAATTGCGGCGCGTCTCTGAGGTGGCAGGTAGGCGGTCGCTCTCTCGAACGGGCTCCGCGCTCACCTCGCATTTCCGGAGACGTCCGCGCTGAGCTTGTCCTGCACGCACAGCTCCCGGCACTCCGCCGGGCTTGACGAGCCCGCTCGTGGCCAGCGAGGAGAGAGCGAAGCTGCGCTGCATCGCATCGCATCGCATCGGCCGACGAAAGCCAACGACTCAAGGCGGGCTAGCGCCGACTGGGCCATAAGTGCTCGCCTGGCGCCCCTCCAGAGCGTGAGCTTGAGCTGCGCCGCGAGAGAGGCAACAGGCAGGCAGGGTGGCATTAAGGTTGACTCTCCGTCGGCAGGCAGCGAGCTGGCCAAGCTTGCTTGTCCGCTTGCTCGATCCGGCGAGAGGAGACCTCGAGCTAGCCTGCTACGCACGCTGACAGAGAAGCGAGGCCGGCCAGTCGCCGGTCCCGAGCGAGGAGCGTGCGCTGCCTCTACGCACCGTTGTCGCGGAGCACTGAGCGATGTCCCGCGACGATGCCGTCGGCACGTCCGCGAGTGAGCGCCCTGGAGTCAAGTCAAGGCTGGCGGCTAAAGCACCTGCGGCGTTGCAGCCCGGCGCGCCCCGGGTCGATCCGGCCTACAAGCAAGGAGCAAGGAGCAAGCGGCAAGCGGCAAGCAGAGCAGCGAGCCAAGGAGTGGCACCCTCGTACGCCCCGGGCTGAGCTGGGCGCGGCATGGCGCGCCGGGCCAAGATTGACCACGGGCAGGCCCGATTCAGCGGTCCAGGCCAGCAGTGCTTGCACCCACATCGCCTCTGCTCGCCGACAACAGCCAGTAGGCGTAGGCGTAGGCGTGCGTGATGGCTCGATGCCGGAGTCGAGTGACCGCAGCGGCGAGAGCAAAAGCCTGCCATCTCACAAACGCCATGCATGGAGGATGCTGGTCAGACGAGAGCAGCGCGCCGTCGAGCTTCGTCCGAAAGCCAAGATCGGCGGGCGGTGTCGATGTCGAGCTGCTATTATGGCCATGCGAACGGACCGTTGCTTTTGCGATTGCGTAGACTTTCCGCCCCTTCTTCCTGGTCCTCGTCCACTCTGACCCAATGCGGTCGTTGCGCCACTCGCCCGCATCGCCGCAGCCGAGTCTCTATCTAGCCGTGACAACTGCGAATAATGATGGTGCGACGACGATGTTATCGCCCCCCGCGACCGCCGGCTACGGCTGCCGGTCCTTTGCACTGCGGCGGGCCTGGTCGAGGGCGTCGAGCCGCCTGACAAAGTGAGGCTTGGGCGAGTAGCCCCTCTCGACGAGCTTGGCAAGCTCGCGCTTCCACTCGTCGCCGTCACCGCCTCGCCCCTCGGCGGCCAGGAGAAAGATCCGCGCGCCCTCGACGCCCCAGTCCCACACCTTTTTGCTAGACAGCGCAGCCTGCCGCCCTTTCCAGATCCGGTAGACGCTGTGCGCCAGCGTTAACTGCCCCTCGCGCGCCAGCCAGACAATCAGCCGGCCCGCCACCTCGGACCGCACGAGCACGTCCTTGCGCACCGCCGCCACTTGACGCTTGCGTGTGGGGAAGTAGGGCAGCCGTGCCACCGCCTCTTCGTCGGCGGCGGCGGTCGATGCACCTGCGCCGGGCGCGCTGCTCGTGCTCGTGCTCGAGATTGTTGCGTCGGCGGCGTCGACTCGCAGGGCGCCGTCGGCGAGGTAGCTGGCCGTCGTGCTCTGCTCAAACAGCCGCACGGCCCGCAGCAGCTGCGCCTTGCCCGAACGCCGCCCGTCGATGGTGGCGAGCTCGGCCAGCACCAGCATCCCCCACGTCCAGCTGTCAAACTCGACGCCCATCTCCTTCATCTCGTCGGCCAGCCGGCGGATCTGCTGCCGCGCCACGTCGAGCGCCGTAGTCTGGCTCTCGATCCTGCGCGCGTGGTCGAGGTGGATGGGCAGCGCCTCGAACGGGTCCGACGAGTCGAGCACGTCGCCGTGATGCTCGAGGTGGACCCGGATCGCGGCGTTGTACGCATCGCGGACGTAGCGGATCGAGATGACGTCCGGAGCGTCGGCGCTGCCGCTGCCGCTGCCGGTACCGGACGACTGCGATGGCTGGGCGCTGCGACCGTGTCTGAAAAAATGACCCAGGCCCAGCCGGAACTCGTCAAAGAGCTTGAAAAGGCTCGCCCTTCGCTCCGGCGTCCATCCGAAGCGTGCTCGGCTTGCCTTGTCCAGCGCGATGCTGTAGATCTCGAGAACAGGCACCAGCGCGTCGTTGGACGGCGCCAGCAGCGGCACCTCGGCCGAGCCTTCCGCACCCGAGGGCCGGGGCTCGAGCTGTTCCTTCCACGCTTTCGTAAGGGCCAGAGCCATTTCGACGGCCTGCTCCGGATACCCGGCCTCGGCAAACTTGTCGACGAAGAGGCGCGCAAGGAACGCCGGGATCACGGCGCGCTGTTCGTGGAGGTCGCGCAGCAGGCGTTCGGCGACGGCGTTGAGGCCGGCTCTGAGCAGCGCCTCGACGTACAGGCCGACGAGGTTGGAGCTCAGATTGTTGCCGCTGCCCACCCAGTCGAGGTAGAGGCGAGTGGCAAAGTGCGGCCGCGGCGAGGCGCCGAGCGATTCGATAAAGAACCAGCCAAAGCTGGAGCGATCCGGCGCCGAGATGCCGTCGAGCGCGAGCTCGGGCAGCGAACCTGAGCCCCGGCCGCGGGACCACAGGTCGCGCATCGGATCGCGCACCCGGAAGAGCTGGTAGAGGCGCTTCGAGAAACTGTAGTCGCGCACCTTCATGTGCATTCCGAGGAGCGAGGCGTGGGAGCCCAGGTCGAGGCTGCCACCGCGCAGCGTCGGATCGCGCGAGAGGATGGCCGTGGTGAGGCGGCGTAGATAGCTCCGCAGCAGGTCGCGAGACCCGGCCCGCTCGTTCTTGTCGGCAAGGTGAGCGCGGGTATGGTCGCGCCGCCGCCCGTCGGCCTCCGAATTGCCGATGCGCACCAGGCCGATCCGCATCAACACCGAGAGCGCCCGGATGACCTCGACGTGGATCGCAGCAAAGGCGTCGCGATCGATGTCGGCGCGGCACGCCGACGAGTAGACGCGCATCACGACGCGGACGTCGTTGACGACGGCGCGGTACGTGCTTCGATCCAGCTCCGCGTCGGGGCCACCAATCTCTTGGATGCGCTTGGAGAGCACACTGGCCGTCGTGACGAACAGATCCTGGTCGGGCGCGTCCGCCAGGGGATCGGCGATCGACGCCGTCGATTGATCGTCAGAGGCATCACGATCCTGGCCGAGGGCGGACGACGACGACGACGACGACGGCGAAGACGGCGAAGACGGCGACGATGGCGATGCGCGAGTCTCGATGATGTGGAGCGCCGGTGCGATGTCCTTGCGCTCGACGAGAACGAGCGCGACCATGTCTGCGAACGAGTTGACCAGTTCAGAGGGAAGGGCCGGGCCGTCGGCGTCGTTGTCCCATGGATGCCACCGAGGCACGAATCGCTCCGCAGCCTGGGTCGCCGCGACCGACGCCGATGTCAACGGCGAGGGGCTGGTCGAGGCCGCGTCGGCGGGTCCGAACGGCAAAAGGTAGCGCAGCGTTGGGGAATCCAGCACGTCGAGCGCTTGGTGCAGGACGAGCTTGGACGGGGCCACGTCGGCGGCCAGCGTGGCGCGTAGGGCCTCGAGCAGCGGCACGACGTCTTCCTTGACCGGTACGGCAGCTCGGTCGTCGACGGGCGAGGGCAGGTACGCCTTGGCCCGGTGCACGCCCGCCGACACCAGCTGAGCGCTGGCCTGCAGGACCTCTTCAAACGTCGCCGAGTCGAGGTAGGCGGGGTGTTCCGACGACTGCGCACGCTTCGCCAGCGTGGTGAGCTGGGCGGCTGCTATGCGAGCGTTGCCCAGGCGGACGGCGCACAGCGCGAGTCGCTCGCGGAGCTCGATCTCGGCCTCCAGCTGTTGCGTCGTCAGCGCCGCATCCGAAGCGTCGACCTGGCCTTCCATCTGGCCGGAAAGATGGTCGTCGAGGCGGCCGACGCCTTCCCTCAGGCTCTTGAGCAACCCTCGCCTGGTCCGCGGGGAAATTGCCTCGTCGGAGGCGACCGCGCGCTCGGCCTTGATGAGCAGGAAATGGAGCAGACGGAAGAGGCAGTCGGCCTGTGAGCGGAAGAGCGTCCGCTGCGCAAAGTCGTCGAGGTCGTACGAGTGCTGGGCCTGCGCCGCCGCGGTCGTGTCCAGCAGCCTGGCACAAGCATCGTCAAAGTCCAGGGGCCCACTGATGCCGGGCTGCTGTGCGATCAGGGTCGAGAGCGGGATGACGATGTCGCGCGGGATCCGAACCGCAGTCGACGAAGAGTTGCGCAGGCGGTCGAAGGCGTCGAGGCTGAGCTCGAGGTCCCGATCGCGCAGCGCCCGGCAGAGGCCGTCGTACTCGGTGCCGAGGTAGGTCGGCGAGGGGTCGATGACCTCGGGCACGAAGCGGCGGGTAGGATCGACGTGCCGATGCTGGCGTTGAGCCTGGCCGTGGGTAAGCGTGGAGAATGAGGAGTCCCGCTGGTGTCTGCCGTTGCTGGAGGCAGCGCCTTCCGGCCTCACCGAAGAGAAGAAGGAGTTGGAGAGATCGTCGGCGGCTTCGGTGCTTCGCGGTGATGAGATCGACGAAATCGACCGGCAAGGACGGTGGCGGCCGTGCGGCGGCCGCAGGGAAAGTCGTGGGAGAAGCGCATGTCCAAATCGCTGCCCGAGGGACCCCCGCGGCGACAGCGACGCAGCGCGGGCAGGATCGAGCCCGCCCTGATAGCCGACGCGGGCATCAGATTGCGGTCCTGAAGGCTGGCAAATGCATCTGGACGAGCGAGCGGTCGCGCCGGGAGCAGTAGGGGCGGCGGCAGCGAGAGCGTCGTTGGCAGGGCGGGCAGGGCCGGCTTGACCGACGTAGAACCGAGTAGCGCTTCTCTGCAGGCAGCAAGACGCTCTGCGAAGCATTAACGGATCCTCGAGGCCGCCGTCGCTGCTCTCTCCTGTCGGCCGATACTGCGTGCGCGAGTCGTGGATACCGGGATGGGTCGAGTGAGGGGGATCCGACGAGGTGAAGACGGTAGCGGCGGCGAGCGGCGAGCTGCGGGCTGTGAGCGGCGGGATCTAGTGTCGCGAGTGTGTTGACAGCGGCATTCACAGCATGAAGAGGCCTATATCAGGGACGCTAAGAGAAGGAAGTCGAAGCGGTGGCCGAGGCGCTGAGGGAGAGAGGGATGTGGTTGATGGGTCGAAGAGAAGAGGCAAAGGCGAGCGAGCGACGGCAGTCAGTCAGCGGCGGCCGCTCTCACCCCACTCGCCCGCCCGCCACTTCTGCGCCTTTTTTTTGGAAGAAACGCCGCCGCCGCCGCGCCCAAAGTCGGGCGAGTGTGGCAGTCAGCCCGAGTCCCGAATTTCTCACGCACGCCCGAGGCCCGAAAAACTCGCGACACCTCAGCGGGCATCCTCAATCCATCTGAAACACTTTCTGCGCACAGAATTTCAAATATAACACGTGCAAAGAGGTAGCTTTGGCTGCTGCCCAACTTTAAGCACTGAAAGGGAACACACACATGATATAAGCTGTACCTACATCTCGCAGACTTCAAACACCTTTGAAGTTCCATCTGTCAAGTGTAACGGTCGACCTGGCAAGTGCGCAGAGGAGTATCCGAGGGGCGGAGAAGTCTCTGCGCGTCGGAGGGCAATTGCTTTGGTGCTCCTGTCAGAGGCGCGAGCAAGGTCCGGGAACGGCAGGTTGATACCGAGGGCGACTGTGAGCACCGTTGGCAGGCGTCCACGGTCAAGGATGACTACGGAAGTGAGCTGGCAAGGTGATCTGTCGATAGGCGTCGTAATTGCTAGGCAACGGTAGCCTTGGGCTCTCACGTTGATGGAAGACAAGCAAGCTGTGAGGACTGGTATTGACTAGACTGGATGAGGGGCATCCAGGGTTAGGAAGCGGAGGAGGACTAGGCTATATACTGTCTACCTACGGCGTCAAGGCATCCCTGCCTCGACCAATCAGGAATGGCCTCTATTGTCCTATTGTCCTCCATTGTCATCCCAGGGCGTTGCTCCGAGGTGGGACGCCACCGTCGTGCCCGAAGCCTAGCCCTTGGCCCTCGGTGCGGATCCGAAGCATCCTCCTGCCAGCAGGAGCAACTGCGGAGCCGCACGGTGCGTGCCGACGTCGCCCGGCGCGCAGAGGATTGCTGGCGGCTTGGTGATTCCTCTCCGCGGCCGCGCGGAGAGAATTCACTTCGGCTCCGGAATCCTCTGCTCCGCTGGCCCGCGCCGCTCAGCCCCGATTGGGCCAGGGCTGTGACATTACCCCCCCTTTCAGGGCTGAGCTCCTGCAAAGCGGAAGCCGCCACGTGGCCCTTTGTGGAGGGGGACGGAGCCCATTCAGGCTTGCTTCCCACCACCACCATCCCCAATCCGCCAGCACCATGTCCAGCCGCTACTCCTGCCCTACGGACGAGCTCGTTGCGCTCGGCCCGCACGTCTACAACCCCTCGACGATGACTGAGGTCGACAAGGAGTGCATCCTGGTCGACTGCTGCGAGTACGTCGATTGGCACTGGGCGCGTTCGCCGTTCGGTGCTGCGGCCCGCCGCGACTTGGTGGCTGGTGTCCGCCAGCAGGACAACTGGAAGGTACGGTACAAGCTTGCCGCCAAGCACAAGAAGGAGGAACAAGCCCGAGCAGAGGCCCGCAGCCTGCTCCTTTGC